CCCCAAGCCAGCAACAGCAGCCCCCCCCCCCCACCTGCAAAGTAATGCAGCGGCGACTGCGCCTCCACCACCCTGTTCCACAGCCGGGCGTCTGCCACCATGCGCTTTATGTGCGCGAGCTCCACACTCCAGTCAAACACGAGCTTGCCCACGGCGCTGGCCGGGCGCGGCGCCCTGAGACGAGCGCAGGCGCACCGACGAGGGGTCGGAAACGAAGGTGAGAGGGAAGAGGTTTGCGGGTGGAGGGCGGCAGCACAGGAATCGACGGTTTGAGACGGGGGGTGCGCGACTGCGGGTTGGCAGGCGGTTGTCGGGGTGCCGGGCTGGCTTCGAGGGCGCGTGCCGGGAGTCTTGGGCGGCGTGGCAAACCCCAACAAGAGGACACGCCGAGGGGCGCGCAGGCTCCTGCGCGGTTGCTCAAACAAGTACACACCCCAGCCCATCAACAAATACACAAACACACACACACACACACACACACACACACACACACACACACACACACACGCACTCAGACACAGATACACGCATACCGCTACTGTACATATGAACACACAAGCGCACACCAACGAACAACACATACACACACGTGCGCATAACACATACATACATGCACCTCGGAAACACACACACACACACACACGCACACACGCGTGCACACACGCATGAACATGAACACACAACCACACACTCACTTGCACACAAACATGCGCGCACGCGCACGCGCGCGCGCCGCGCGCACCTGAAGTAGCGCATGCTTGGGGGTGAGGCGGGGTGCGAGGCGAACTCCGCCACCAGCCGCGCGCGCGTCGCCTCGCTGGCGACTGCGAACTGGAAGGCGGCCAGGAGGGTGCTCTGGTTGAGCACCTCCTGGGGTTGGGAGTGGGTGGGGTGGGTTCGTGGGAGGCCATCAGTGAGGGGTTTGCGGGCAGGTGAAAACTGCGTGGGTGCTCTGCCCTGGATGTGGCCGGGTCGCGCGTCAGCAACGTGCCACCACGCCAGCCTCAGCACGGCCGTCCCCCACAACTCCCCCAAAAAGATGCCGATATGCAACTCGTCACACACACACACACACACACACACAAACACACGCACACCCACGCATGCACGCACGTGCACACGCAGGCGCAAACACACACACACACACACACACGTGTGCGCGTGTGCGCGCAGACACACACACACACACACACACACACACACACACACACACAACCGCATCACATTGCCCGATGCACCCCAAAGCTTTGAAAACAAAAGTAACTCACCCTCATCCAGGGCAGGCCATGCAGGATGTCGCCTATGAAGCTGCTGGTCAAAAACGGCAGGCGGACCTGTTTGAGGCCGTTGTGGTTTGGAGTTGGAAGACGGGTGGGGTCGTGGGGAGGCGCACGTGCGAGGGGGCGGGGGCTCGGCCAGGCTGTGCCGGGGGGAAGAGTCGTCCTGAGAGCGTGCCAAGCGCGCGGGGCTCGAAGGTTTGGGGACAATCTCGCCGCAGCCCCCATGTCGCACGTTGGCCGTGCGGCGCGCCCCTTGGCTTCTGGCTCTCGCCCAACCGCGCCCTGTCACAACCCAAGCTCCTTGCTCAAAAATAGACTCGACGCCACCATCCGGTCTGCCGCCCCAGGCATCGCAATCGTCATCTCTGTTAGCTTGGTGTAGCAAACCAGCTTGATGCAGCAAAGCAACTCAAAATACAACCCACCAGCTCCACGAGCTGCCGCCGCTGGTCCACAGTGGCACGGCGCCCCACCCCCAGCTCTAACCAGCCCGCCAGCGCCACCACCACCGTGTTCTCGTTGTGGGCTGACGCGGGATGACATCATCCAAGCATGGGGAGGGGGGTTGCGGAGGACGGTGACGTCGTGCGTTGTGCAGCTTCATGGTGGGACGATTGCTCCCACTTTCCCCCGCAACACAACACATACACGCGTGCGTTCGCTGACATGCTCGCCGTTCACCAGCGAATACACACATACACACACACACACACGCGCACATGCACACGCACACGCACGCGCGCGCGTGCGTGCGGCCGCGACCCGCACCTGACGTATCCTTTGAAGCCAGCAGGCTGCGCACCGCGCGGAATGGCAGCTGCATGAACTCCTCTCGGGACGACTCCTGGGACCACACCTGGCGGGCAATTTGAAATTATGAAACGACAGACGGCACGTTTGGGGGCTGCAGCGCAGATGCCGTCGTCGTTGGCTGGGTGGGATCCAACGCCTCAACACGTGGCGGGCGGAGGGCGGACAGCAATGGAAGTGAGGCCGCTCGTACGCTGCTATGACGAGCGCCGACAAGCGGCAACACGCGACCTGTGCGCAGCCGGCGTCCCCTTGCAGCACTCACGCCCGAGGCGGTGCAGCCGCCCCAGCCGCAGCAGCTCGCCTCCCCTGCCCTGTGCCCTGCAGACCCCGACCCTCAGACCAAGCCCGCCAAATCCCCAACGGGGTCGACGCAACCCAGCCAGCCGCCGCCGGTTCAATCCCGCCCGCCCCCCCCCGTCCCACAC